CCCTCGCGTGGTTATACTTCCACCATCACAGCCGTCCATGCAGACATCAACCCTCGCATGATAATACTCCCACCATCACAGCTGCCCATACAAACATCAAGCCTTACTTGGTTATACTCCCACCATCACAGCTGTCCATACAGATATCAACCCTCGCGTGGTAATACTCCCACCATCACAGCTGTCCATACAGACCTCAACCCTCGCATGGTAATACTCCCACCATCACAGCCGTCCATACAGACATACTCCCCCTCAATAAGTTTGAGTCGTTCCCCAATGAGGGATAATTGTCTCGAATGTACTAACTGTAAAGTTATATTTTGTTTTTCCCGATGTGTCTAGACGTACATGTTCCAATGATCACACTTATGTGTGTTTATTGCTCATGCCAGCTTATGTTTATACGTTTCTATTGAGACTAATCCTGTCAACAGTTACATATGAAGGCTATATTTGTTGTGTTATTGTCTTTTCTTAGTAGCTAAATAAATGTGCATATTTTTATTTATTTTTATTTTTTTACAAAAATATAGTTTCCATCTGTATATTACCTATGTAAATGTATACTTATATGGCTGTGGGAGCCGTGCCTCGGAGGTCCTATATTTTCCTTTTTATTTTTGAATATCGATGCGTAGAGGAACATACTATAATGATGGGTGGATCCTTTGATGTTACCAACAAATATTTATATAATCAACATGATAGTTAGAGTCGACCAATTTGTTATATTAGTCAACCCGACTTGTCCGATTAAATGTAGGCAAACCTATTTTTTATCGAGCACATTGACTCAGATTTTTAATACATGTATATTGTCTTTTACCATGCCAATGTTTTTCTCCTATTCCCCCGTAAAATCGCACAGATACTTTACTTATTGGCATATATAGATGTCACCAATTAAGGGTGAAATATTTATGATTTTGGTTTTTCTTTGTTGTTGTTGTATAGATAGATATATTTTTATTAGTATAAATATCAATTGGAACACCACATTCCAGGTAATTATCAGTAATTTAGGCTGGATCTTCCAAGATTTGGGTAGTGCAAGCTAGATCATATCGTGCAGCTTCTTCGGAAATTCATGGCCAAATTTCTGAAGGCATCTGTCATATCACAGTATATGATCACTGCTGTCCCATTTGATGACAGAGCCTCACAAATTGATGACAGCAAGCTGGCCATTGATAAGATGCCTCCAGTATTTTTTGAGAAATAGCACTAACAAACTTAAACCCTCAAAATTCTAGATGGCTGCCTGTTGGCTGACTTGGTTTTCTAACAGTCCCAAAATTTGATTTGCAAAATAAACAAGAGGCCCAGAGTGCCTGTATCGCTCACCTGGATATCTTGGCAATCATGTCAAAATATTCTTCAAAGAAAATCCCAGACCCTGAGGCCAACCCTTGTAACATATCTGTATTAGATTTTTCTTGCCCAGCAGTGAGTTGTATGTCATGTGGTTATGGGGTGGGGATCTCAACTGTTTCCTAGTTGTGACTCAGAAACTAGGTCCCTAGGGTTGTGGCCAGACCCCAGGGTCAATTCTAATATCATGACTGCATTCGTCTCTTTATACCCAGCATTTGTATATATAGTTTGGGTTCAAACGTTTCAAAGTTATGACCAAGGGACTAAGTCTCCAGGGTGGGGCCTGACCCCAAGGCCATTATGGAAGCATATGTGCATTCATCATCTCTTTATACTCAGCAACTGTATATAAGGTTATAGGGTGGGGATCTCAATCATTTCCAAGTTATGAACTAATTTTTGGCCCTGGTCCTCAGCCCCCTGGGGGGTCAGCCCCTCCATTTGTACATTTTTAAATCCCCACCTCCCATGAATGCTTTCAGCCAAATATGATTAATATCCATTGCTTAGTTCCAGAGAAGAAGTTACTTAAACAAATAAAGCCAAAAAAAACCTGTTTGGCCCCATTCCTCAGTACCCTGGAGGTCAGCACCTCCTTTTGTAAAATTTTGAATCCCCACCTTCCATGAATGCTTTCAACCATATATGATTGATATCCATTGCATAGTTCTAGAGAAGTTGTTTATAGCAATATAGCCAAATTGACTCCTTTTGGCCCCGCCCCTCGGGGGTCAGCCCAACCATTTGTACAATTTTGAATCCCCACCACCAAGGGATGCTTCCATTCAATTTGAGTTAAATTCCAATCAGTGGTAAAAAGAAGTCATTTGAAGAAATTATTAATATGGACGGTCAATGGACGGAAGGACGACAGGGAGGGTCGATGGACGGAAGGACGACAGACGACGGACAGACAACGGACGCCATGGTATGGCATAACCTCACCTTGGTCCTTTGGACCAGGTGAGCTATTACCGTAAAAACCCATGTAATTTGCGCACTTTTTTTTCAGAAATTTAATACCCAAAGTGGGGGGTGCGTAAAATACACAGGTATAAGCAATTTGAAGTTTTCTTCATGAAAAAGATCGACGATTGGGCAGACCGCCATCTTGGACACCCTCTTGGATAATCTCCCTTGGTACACGGAACTCAAAGACAAACGACGATCAACACATTTATTTAGGTCAAACATCAATAAAAGATACAATTGATACATACTGTGTTGTACCTGAGTTTATGTGAAAAGTATTATTAAATAGGTAACCGTTAACAAAGAAAGTTTAGCCAAATTCCTATGCCAGAGAATTGCTGATCAACTTATGTTTCGACATCTTGGTGCGTTTTTCCCATACTATTACGAAAATGTAGGCCCTAGTTGTTCAATTTAAGCTCCGTTCCTTGTAAGTTCTGTTAGGGTTTTTTTCAAATCGCCTATGCGTATAGCATGGGTTTTTTTTCTTGGCTCACTTTGATGTTGATCTCGCGTCTAACATTACGTAAACACGTGATTGATAATAACCTCGTGAATTATTTCAATATTTATTAAATGAAGCATCGTAAAAATAGTCTGCTTTATTGGTTTTTTCCTTGTAGTAGATTTGAAGAGGGTGTATTGATTGTCCACGCTTCTAGTATAAACATATTTTTTTTTAATCCCTTATCAGTCAAAATATTTGAGTAGAAGCTTTTTGGGGGGTTTTCGGCCTCAAAAAGTACCTGTGCAAATTACATAGGTGTGCAAATTACATGGGTTTTTACAGTAACAAGAGATCCCAGAGGGATCTTGGCGCCCACCATTGTAACATCTTCATTAGTTCTTAGTCAGTTCGATCTTTTCTCTTCTTTCCTCTAATCTGTTTGATCGAGTCATGTTAACAGTAAATGCACCTTGTGGTAACTTTTGATCTAAACTTAAACTGATGTGTATGAAAGCCAACCAACCTTCAAAGTGAGTTTGTCATTTCACATATTTACTAGTACAGTACTTAATGTGAAAGAAATAAAATCGATCATTGCAATATGAGAAAGATCTGTTTAGTTTTTCCTTTAGCCATTTTGTTTTTACGATCAGTCTCAAAATATAACATGCACAAAAGGGATCAAGGAGAACCTACATATCAAATTTGAGAAAAATCCCTCAAATTAAGAAATAGTATTAACAAACCTTCAATGTCAAAAATTGAAGATGGCTGCCAGTAGGCCATTTTGTTTAACTGATCAGTTTCAAAAGTAAACATGAAAATAAAGGATAGTGAGGAACCTGCATTGGCTGGCCAAAATTTTCTTTTGGGGCGAGTAAAAAATTTAAAGCACTGGCCCAAATGACATATTGGTGGCCTCAATAATTTTGGGAAGAAATATTTCCACAGCATTTAACACAATGCTTCAGCACATTTAAATTACAAATAGCATGACAATGTTTGTAATATGTCAAACAGAAAAAATCATTATATTTTTAATTCTTCAACCCTAGTTAAAACCTGACATGATCCATTACATTCAGGTCTTCCCAAAAAGAAATACACAAAACTCGCTACTCAAAGAAGACACCCTGGCAGTATTTATAAAGAAAAACTGAAAACAAAATCATCACATTTTCTAAATCACGGACAGTTCGATTCAAATCGAAGTAATGACAACTGAAAAATGGACTGCCGCCCAGTTAATGTGGAAGGGACCAAAATTTCTTTTATTCATCAATTTTTGACGGTCGCCCAAACTATTTTTGTTGGGCCAGTGACTACCTCACTTTTGACAACTTTTGGTCGCTCGAGCAAGACTTAAACCGCCATTGGCGAGCAGGCGGCCGTCCATTTGGGGCACTACTGCACAACAAGGGAACAAGGGGAACCTACATATAAAATTTGAGAAAGATCCCTCCCATACTTCCCGAGAAATAGCATTAACAAACTTTCACTATCAAAATCAAAGATGGCTGCCTGTCGGCCATGTTATTTATCCGATCTGTTTCAAAAGTTGCCCTGCACAGAGCTTGGGAACAAGGGGAACCTACATATAAAATTTACCAAAGATTCCTCTGGTACTTCCCGAGTAATAGCGATATCAAACTTTCACTATCAAAATCCAAGATGGCTGACTGTCCACCATGTTGTTTATCCGATTAGTCTCAAAAGTTGAACTGCACAGCTAGGGAGCAAGGGGAACCTACACATAAAATTTGAGAAAGATCCCTCTTGTACTTCCCGTGACATAGCGATAACAAACTTTCACTACCAAAATCCAAGATGGCTGCCTGTCGGCCATTTTGTTTATCCGATCAGCCTCAAAGGTTGCCCTGCACAGCTTAGGACCAAGGGGAACCTACATATAAAAATTTGAGAAAGACCCCTTTGGTACTTCTTGAGAAATACCGATAACAAGAATTGTTTAAGGACGGACGGACTACGGACCACGGACGCAGGGTGATTTGAACAGCACACCATCAGATCAAAAGTAAGGGACCATAGGTAATATTCATGTGAAATTTGAGCAAGATCCCTGCAGTGCTCTTGGAGAAACAATGCTTACAAGAATTGTTTAAGAATGGACGGACGAACGGACGGACCACAGGCAACGTACGAAAGGTGATTTGAAATGAAAATGAAAGTAATGTGTACATACCCCAACAATATCTGCATGAAATTCACCATTTTCTTTCAGATAGTTGTCCAGTGGCACACAGAATCCTCCAAAAAAATGCAGTCTAGAGAACAGAAAATAGACCTGCAGGAATGTGTTGTCAAAGGAATATGTATTTCAATATGCACATCAGTTTTGAGTACTTGGGAAAGGAGTTTTGCTCACTTTAAAATCACTGTCCCTATAGACAAAGTTGTCTTTATGAAAAAGATGAGTTGCAAGAATTGTTTTGATAAACTTGTATAAATGATCACTTAGCAAAACATAGTGACAAGATGTTGCTAAACAAGAGGCCCAATGGGCCTGCATCGTCAAACTGATATTAATCTCACACTGGTTACCTTAAAAGCAGACTAATATAAAGCCGCAGGCAAAATATCAGTATTCATGACTATAAGTCATTCATAATATGAACCCTGTGACTTTGAAAGTCAAACAAGTTTATTACATTGAACAAACTTTATAGCCCTTTATCTCAGCATGTTACTGGCAAAATATCAGCAATTTTGGCATTTGGGTTATTAAAAAAAATAGTTTTTTAAAGGTTTAAAACCTCTGTGACCATGAATATAAGTCAAGGTCCTTCAAATGAAACAAGAGGACCTGAGGGCCTGTATCGCTCACCTGAATATGTTTGAAATCATTGGTATGAAGTAAAGATATAGCACTCCATGGTAGGTCCTATAAGTTCACTTGAAATTTCAGCAAGATCCATTCAGTACTTCTGGAGATATAGCCAGAACAAATTTCAAATAGAGCCCCACCCCTATGCGCCTAGAGAGGCCATACCCACCATTTAAACAAAATTGAGTCCCCTTGGCCCAAGGATGCTCCAGATTAAATAAGGATAAAATCACTTTATCCCTATGGTAGAAGAAGGTTTTAAAGGTTTTACCTCTATTTCCCTTATTGGGCCCTGCCCCTCTGCCCCAAGGGCATCCAAACCTAATGTTTATACAAGCTTGAGTCCCCTTGGCCAGAGGATGCTCCAGACCAAATTCCAATGAAATCGCTTAATCCCTATGGTAAAAGAAGAATTTTAAAGGTTTACCACTATTTCCCCTAATCGGCCCCACCCATCTGCCCCCAGGGGGGCCACACCAACTGTTTATACAACACTGCGTCCCCTTGGACCATGGATGCTCCAGACTAAATAAGGATAAAATTCTTTATCCCTATGGTAGAAGAAGGATTTTAAACATTTACCTCTTTCCCCTATTGGGCACCATACCTCTGCCCCCACAGGGTTCAAACCCACCGTTTATACAAAATTGACGCCTGTGACCTTGAATGTCGAACAAAGACATTAGGTTCAACAGAGTTTCTCATCTTCCATCCCAGCATGCTTCTGGCAAAATATCATTACCCGGTACCTTTTGGTTATACCGAACAAATAATTTAAAGATTTAAACATATATTGACCGTTGTGACCGTGAATATGGGCGAAGGTCGACTATTTGAATAAACTTGGTAGTCCTTCATCCAAGCATGTTAATGGACAAATAAAATCACCTTGGCCTTTTGCTTATAGAGAAGAAGTCGTTTAAAGATTTTAAACATATTTGACCCCTGTGACCTTGAATATATGTCAAGGTCATTTATTTGAACAAAATTGGTAGCTCTTCATCCCAGGATGCTACTGGCCAAATATCATCATTTTAGGCCTTTTGGTTATTCAGAAGAAGTCGTATTAAAGGTATTTTACATATTCGACCCCTGTGACCTTGAATTTAAATCAGGGTCATTCATTTGAACAAACTTGGTAGACCTTTATCTTACAACGTTACTGGCCAAATATCATCACCAAGGCCTCTTGGTTAAATTTGAAAACACGGTTAAAAACACACTTCCCCATCGCATTTGTTGCGTTCGTGTTCCCCTCCTGTTAAAGATACTCTTAATGCGCATGAACGTCTATTACTTTAGCGCTTTGACTAAGAGACTTATTCAATTCAAACGCAGTAATGATATGAATTGAAAAAGTAAAACCAGAAACTTCATCAGTATATATTTTTCGGAATTATTAAAAATTACGATCTGCAATTTGACGATCAATCTGTGTTCAAATTAATTATTGTTTGCAACGAATGTTTACAAAATACTGAATTAACATGACAGAAACGAATACTCAACTAACTTCTCTGATTTTCAAGGGTTTTTCAAGTACTTCCATTGATTTTCAAGGGTTTTTCAAGGTTTACAGTCATTTTCAAGGGTTTTTCAAGACAGACATCAAATTCAAGGGTTTTTCAAGACCTGTGCGAACCATGTTTAAAGTAATATATTGACGCCGGATGCCGGCCGGCCGGACTGACAACGGACGCCGCACCACGGCATTAGCTCACTTGCCCTTCTGACAGATGAGCTAAAAATGATTTACTCGACAGAGTGCAACTCATTCAACAGCAATAATCGTAACTAACCTCGAGCTTGTGAACTTACTGTAAGTAAGTGATATGTACATGTGAGGTTGGTACACAACACACATCAGTTTGCATTCCATGTACTTCATATATGATCTTCTTGAAGTCGTCTGGTCTCATATAAGTGTCTTTCCGCGAGTCAGTTCATGTCTTTGTATTGGAACCTTTCTTTCCGTGAGTCAGTTCATGTCTTTGTATTGGAATCTTTATTTCGGAGTATGTGTGATCACACATTTCCCAGTTAAGTCTCAATATCTGGTGTTGACATATCATCACACATGTGTGCTATTGTTTACCCGGTGTTACTATAATTTAAAGTTCGATATTGAATGCCTGATACGTAATACAGAAATGACAACATGAAAACACCACAAGAAAAAAATGTGTATTACTAAGGGTTGGAAGTCCTTAAAGTATCACAGACCACAGACTTTAAAACAACTCACCTGTTTTGGTGGACCCAGCAGACACACTTATCCCGAGGGCTAGGCAGGTCACTGTCAAGTGCTGCTTCAACACTTCCCCACTCCAGTGTATGCAGGTCCAGTTTGTACAGTGTGTTGACATTTCCATCCCTTGTGTGTCCAGCAAACAGGTACATAAAATGGTCAAACAGACAGGCAGAGGCACCAGACGTTCCAGGGGGACACTGACCTGTTGTCTCTTTCTTCAACCTGGATCACAAGCATCAATCATGATCACCTGATACTTATATTTAGTGACTGAACTGGATTATTTTAACATGTTTTAATGATAGAATGAGATGTATATCTGGTTTAAAGGTGGGGTCAACATTTGGCCCCCACTTTGATTTCTTTTATTCTTTTGCCATATGTAGATACATAAAAATGATCAATAACTACACCAGGTTGAGTGATGGGGGTATCCTAACAAAATGATAAGATAAATGTCACAAGCGAATGTTATTTTGAAAATGAATTATGATAGTGTACAGTGTATAAAATTACTGTTATTTTGATACTTAATATGTCATATTGGTATATATGAAGTAAGCGTACTGATACTTTTCATTTGAAAAACATGCAAAATTTTACAGTGGTAGTCTATATTTGAAACTTCTTTAAAAACTCTCCATTTATTTATTCTGTCTACTGAATCATTTTTATGTAATATCAAAACAGGTAAAGTACTTTATTAGCATGCCAAACATGATCAATGCCCAATTTCAATAATTGATATGAAGTAAAGATATAGCACTTCATATTAGGTGCTGTAAGTACATATGAAATTCCAGAAAGATCCATCCAGTACTTGAGATATAGTGAGAACAAACTTTAATCAGAACCCCACCCCTATGCCCCTAGGGGGGTAATACCCACCAATTATACAAAATTGAGTCCCCTTGGCCCATGGTTGATCCAGACTAAATAAGGATAAAATCCCTGAGTCCTCAGCAGATGGTCGAAGAAGGATTTTAAAGGTTTCACCTCTATTTCTCCTATTGGGCACTGCCCTCCTGCCCCCTGGGAGACCACACCCACTGCTTATACAAAATTGATTCCCCTTGGCCCAAGGATGCTCCAGACTAAATTAGGATAAAATCCCTTAATCCCGATGGTCGAAGAAGGATTTTGAAGGTTTTACCTCTTTTTCCCCTATTGGACCCTGCCTCTGCCTCCAGGGGGGTCAGACACACTGTTTATACAAAATTGGTTCCCCTTCATCCAAGGATACTTCATACCAAATTTGGACAAAATCATGTCATTCCTACAGAAGAAAGATTTTGAAGAATTTGCTAGGTTTCCCCTATTGGGCCCCTCCCTTCTGCCCACAGGGGGGCCACAATCACTGTTTAAACGAAATTGAGTCCCTTTTGTCCAAAGATGCTCCAGACTAAACAAGGATAAAATCCCTTAATCCCTATGGTAGAAGAGATTATAAAGGTTTTACCTCTATTTCCCTTATTGGGCCCGACCCTCAGGTCCCAGGGGGGCCACACCCATCATTTATACAAAATTGGTTCCCTTTCACCCATGGATACTTCAGACCAAATATGGAACAAATCCTTTCATTCCTACAGAAGCAGGATTTTAAAGAATTTGCTATATTTCCACTATTGGGCCCTACCCCTTAGCCCCAAGGGGGCCAGACCCACCGTTTGTACAAAATTGGTTCCCCTTTACTCAAGAATGCTTCAGACCAAATATAGACCAACTCCTTCATTCCTACAGAAGAAAAAGGATTTTTAAAAATTTGCTATATTTCCTTTAATGGGCCCCACCCCTAAGCCCCCAGGGGGGCCAGACCCCCCATTTATTTTATACAAAATGTGTTCCCCTTTACCCAAGGATGCGAACCTATTAAAAGATTCAAACATTTGACATCTGTGACCTTGAATGTCGAACAAGGACATTAGGTTGAAAGTCGGTCAAGGTCATTCATTTGAACAAACTTAGTAGTCCTTCATCCAAGCATGCTACAGGCCAAATATCATTACCCTGGGCCTTTTGGTTATGGTGAAGAAGTCCTTTGAAGATTTTAAGACATTAGACCCGTGTGACCTTGAAAGTGGGTCAAGGTCATTCATTTGAACAAACTTGGTAGTCCTTTGTCCCAGCATGATACTGGCCCAATATCAGTAACCTGGGCCTTTTGGTTATTGAGAAGAAGTTGTTGTTGAAGATTTTAAGACATTTGACCCCTGTGACCTTGAGAGTGAATTAAGGTCATTCATTTGAACAAACTTGGTAGTCCTTCATCCAAGCATGCTACTGGCCAAATATCATCACACTAGGCCTTTTGGTTATAGAAAAGAAGTTGTTTAAAGTAAAATATTGACGCCAGACGGACGAACGACGAACGCAACACCACGGCATAAGGTCACTTGGCCCTTTGGGCCAGGTGAGCTAAAAATGGTACATGTTCCGAGAACTGACTTTCTACTTGTTTTGGCAGGCGCCATCTTTCAAAAAGTTTTCAACTAACAGGCTACACTACAGTGTTAATATATAATCAGGGAAGAACTAATTACTTAACATGCATCAGGTCATTAAAAACTTCCCATTACATACAATTTATATCTGACAAATACTGTCTTTTTACCAGTATCCCACGTCTGTGTTGTAGAGCCAGATATCAGCAGGCGGCAAGTATGCTTCTTGAAGGTTGCTGATATTCTGATTCTGGAAAGAAGGAAAATATTCTCACAAAATAATCTTGCATTTTACTGATTGGAAATAAATCTGTGATATGAAGAGAGATGGATCTATCTGCTGTAAATGCTTATTGCCAAAAACACTGAATACAAATCATGACATTGTGACAACCAATTTATGTTTATTTTTGTGCTTGTTATTCCCCCCAACCCATGCCACCTACCCACTATAGATGCAATCAAGGCACTTCTGTAGGACTACTGAATGGATATATCTAAACAAGAGGCCCAGAGGGCATGTATCTCTCACCTGGATATCGAAGCAATCATGGCAAAATATTCTCCAAATAAGATCCAAGGGAATGGGCCAGACCCCAAGGCCAATCCTTGTAGCATATCTGTATTAGTTTTTTCATGCCAAGCAATTTCATGTATGGGTATGGGGTGGGGATCTTAGCTATTTCCAGGTGTGACTCAGAAACTAGGTTCCTAGGGTTGTGGCCAGACCCAAAGATCAATTATAATATCATGACTGCATTCTTCTCTCTATGCCCAGCATTTGTATATATAGCTTTGAGATGGGGATCGCAACCGTTCCAAAGCTATGACCCAGGGGTTAAGTCTGCAAGGGTGGGGCAGACTCTGGGGTCAATTATAATATCATAACTGCATTTGTCTCTTTATGCCCAACAAATTGTCTATATAGTTTTGGGGTTGGGATCTTAACCATTTCTAAGTTATGATCCAGGGGTTAAGTCTTCAAGGGTAAAGCAGACCCTGGAGCCATCCTGGAAGCATATGTGCATTCGTCACATTATACTCAGCAAACCCTAGGGGTTTGGCAAGACCCCAGAGTCTATTCTAATATCATGACTTCATTCGTCTTTTTATACCCAGCATTTGTATATACAGTTTTCGGGTAGGGATTGTTTATAGCAATATAGCCAAATAACCCCCTTTTGGCTCCTCCCCTCATGCCCCTTGTGGAGATCAGCCATACCATTTGTACAATTTTGAATCCTCACTACCTAGGGATGCTTCCCCTCAAATCTAGTTGTATTCCATTCAGTGGTTAAGAAGAAGAAGTCGTTCAACGAAATTGTTGACGTACAGCCGACGGGCAGACGAACGCCGCGGTATGGCATAAGCTCACCTTGGTCCTTCGGACCCAGTGAGCTAATAAACTGTTATACATCTGTCAACTTGAGATCTGAAAGATCAGCCCCACAATTTGTACAATTTTGAATTCCCACCTCCCATCAATGCTTCCAAGTAAATATGATTGATATTCAGTGCATAGTTCTACAGGAGTCTCTTATAGTAATATAGCCAAATGACCCTCTAATAAGCCCGTCTGTCGTCTGACCCTATCCGATGATTTTTTGTTTGTTAATTTAAATCCATTTTGTCCTTGTTAGACCCCACATGAACATCCATACCAAAGATTAGGACAATAACACATGATCTGACTGAACTGTACACTACTGAAGAAACTTGCAACAAAACTTTAACGAAGAAATTGTGCGAGAAACCTTCAGTCCCAAACACGTCCAAAATTTACAACAAGAGGCCCAATGGGCCTGCATCGCTCACCTGGTATAAATCTCACACTTGTAATCTTAAAAGTGGACTAAAATACAGCTACAGGCAGAATATCAGTGTTTGATTCATAAGAACCTATTAAAAGATTTAAACAAATGACACCTGTGACCTTGAATGTCGAACAAGAACATTAGGTTGTACAGAGTTTATAGTCTTCCAATCTAGCATGCTTCTGGCAAAATATCATTACCTGAACCTTTTGGTTATACAGAACAAATTATTTAAAGATTTAAACATATATTGACCACTGTGACCTTGAATTTTGGCTAAGGTCATCCACTTGGTAGTGCTTTATCCCAGCATGTTAATGTCCAAATATCATAACCCTTGTCCTTTTACTTATTAAGAAGAAGTCATTCAATGATTTTAAACATATTTGACCCCTGTGACCTTAAAATATATCTGTCAAGGTCATTCATTTGAAATTGGTAGCTCTTCATCCCAGCATGCAACGGACCCAATATCAGTACCCTGGGACATTTGGTTATTGAGAAGTATTTTCAAGATTTTAACATATTTGACCCCTGTGACCTTGAAAGTGGGTCAAGGTCATTAATTTGAACAAACTTGGTAGCCCTTCATCCAAGCATGATACAGACTCAATATCAGTACCCTGGGCCTTTTGGTTATTAAGAAGAAGTTGTTTGAAGATGTTAAGACATTTATCACCTGTCACCATGAAAGTAGGTCAAGGTCATTCATTTGAACAGACTTGGTAGCCCTTCATCCTAGCAAGATACAGGCCCAATATCAGTATCGTGGGCCTTTTGGTTATTGAGAAGTTGTTTGAAGATGTTAAGACATTTGTCACCTGTCACCATGAAAGTAGGTCAAGGTCATTCATTTGAACAAACTTGGTAGCCCTTCATCCCAGCATGATACAGACCCAACACAGTACCCTGGGCCTTTTGGTTATTAAGAAGAAGTTGTTTGAAGATGTTAAGACATTTATCACCTGTCACCATGAAAGTAGGTCAAGGTCATTCATTTGAACAAACTTGGTAGCCCTTCATCCCAGCAAGATACAGGCCCAATATCAGTACCGTGGGCCTTTTGATCATTGAGAAGAAGTTGTTTGATGATTTTACGACATTTGAACAAACTTGGTAGCCCTTCATCCCAGCATGATACAGGCCTTAAGTACCCTGAGCCTTTTGGTTATTAAGAAGGGTATTTTGAAGATTTTAACATATTTGACCCCTGTGACCTTGAAAGTCGGTCAATGTCATTTTCATTCTCAAATTTTGTTGGGCTCTATTCCAGGAAGCCACCTGCCGAATATGAAGATTCTATACCTTTTAGTTCTTCAGAAGTCGTTTGAATATTTTGAAATATTTGACCCCTTTGACCTTGAAAGTAGGTCAAGGTCATTTTCGTTCTTAAAATTTGCCAGGCTCTTACCAAAAAAGCTTTCAGCAAAATATCATGACTCTAGTCCTGTCCGTTCTTCAGAAGAAGTTGTTTAAAGGAAAAGTTGACGGACGAGGATGGATGAGGGACAGGGGGAGGACAGACGGACACCGCTCCATGACATAAGCTCACTTGCACTTCAGGCAGGTGAGCTAAAAAATTGAATTTGGTTTGAGACTAGATTTTTGGCGATTTGCAAATCTGTGTCTACACAACAAAAGCTAGCTTTTCATGTAGTCTATTTTTGTTCTCAGCACATGTGTAAACATTGTGAAAAATGCAGTTGGCAGCCCTTCACCCAACATTCTACAGGCCAAATATCAGCATCCTGGGCCTCATGGTTATTCAGTAGAAGTTGTTTAAAGAATTTTAACATATTTGACCCATGTGACCTAGAATATAAGTCAAGCTCATTCATTTTAACAAACGTGGTAGCCCTTCACCCAAGCATGCTACTGGACAAATAAAAACATTCTGGGCCTCATGGTTATTCAGAGAAAGAGGTTTAAAGTGTTTCTTTTTAGACAATTAAACCCCGGGACCTTGAATATGAGTTAAGGTCATTAATTGGAACAAACTTGGTAGCCCTTTATCCCAGCATGCTACTGGCCAAATATCATCACCCTGGGCATATTGGTTATTCAGAAGTTGTTAAAGTTTTTAGCATATTTTACCCCTGTGACATTGAAAATGGATGAAGGTAAAAAAGTTTAACAAACTTGGTAGCCTTTTATCCTAACATACTACTGGCCAAATATCAGCATCCTTGGCTTCATGCTTATTCAGAAGAAGTGGTTTTAAGGTCTTTTTTATGCATATTTGACCCCGGTGACCTTGAATAAGAGTCAAGGTCATTCATTTTAACAAACTTGGTAGCCCTTCATCCCAGCTCGTCCTGACCAAATATCAACATCCTGGTCCTTTTGGTTATTCAGAAAAAGTTTTTTAAAGTTTCTTTTTAGACAATTGACACCTATGACCTTGAATATGAGTGATGGTCATTCATTGGAACAAATTTGGTAGCCCTTTATCCCAGCATGCTACTGGCCAAATATCATCACCCTTGGCATTTTGGTTATTCAGAAGAAGTTATCCTGGTCCTTTTGGTTATTCAGAAGAAGTTGTTTAAAGTTTTAAAAGACAATTGACCCCCTGTGACCTTGAATATGAGTGGAGGTCATTCATTTGAACAAACCTGGTAGCCCTTCATCCCAGCATGCTACTTGCAAAATATTATCACCCTGGGCATTTTGGTTATTCTTAAGAAGTTGTTTGAAGATTTTAACATATTTGACCCCTGTGCCTTGAATATGGGTGAAGGTCATTTATTTTAACAAAGTTGGAAGCCCTTCATCCAAGTTTGCATATGGCCAAATATCATCACCTCAGGCCTTGTGGTTATTAAGAAGTTGTTTAAAGTAAAATATTGACGCCGGACGTCGGACACCGCGCCAGGACATCAGCACTAGGCCCTTCGAGCCAGGTGAGCTAAAATAAAAGAGAAATGTTTGTGATTCGTTTTATTACAATTCAATGTCTTTGGCCACATTTTTTCTAGACCATACATTATATATATTCATGTATTCTCTCTTTCCCAATTTCACCACCTTCATACGTTAACACTTATTTTCAGCCTCAAAAGTACCTGCGCAAATTACATGGGTTTTTACGGTAGTAACTAGAAATTATCAACAATTTGGCATGCTTTTCAGTTAATCATTGGCAAAACATTTACCCGGTCAATTGTTAAAATTCACTGCAAATATAACAATTAGAACTTGATATTTGTTTTGGTGAACAAAAATGTATGTCTCCCCTTTAACCATTACAGAAGTGCCCAAAACTGCCCCTATTAGTCGCAAATTGACCTGGTCAACTCAAAATATTTTCTGCCAAAAATTTGCGCTGTAGTGCTGTCCACATCATACCTGAACATACAGTGAATCTTACGAACAATTTTCGAAATATTCTTGATTAAAGTTTTTTATTTTTAAACATTTGACCTTTGTGACCTTG